GTGGTGGTTGGTGAATTAATAAGCAGACATTTTCAACAAGTTCAAGGACAACAATGGTGACTTCAAGGCATCTCTTGCGGAGGACATTCGAGGAATCTTAAGCTTTTATGAAGCCACACATTTCAGGGTGCACGGAGAAACTATACTAGATGAAGCGCTTGTTTTCACTACCACTCTTCTTGAGTCCATCGCAACCCAACTCAGTTCTCCACTTGCTGCTCACGTTAAGCATGCCTTATATAAACCTCTTCGCAAGGGCTTACCAAGGGTAGAGGCAAGACAATACATGACTATCTATCAAGAAGACTCTTTGCACAATGAAGTTCTGTTAACTTTTGCAAAATTAGATTTTAACATATTACAAAAATTTCACCAGAAGGAACTCAGTGATATCACAAGGTATGAATGACTACAGATTATTGTAAGGATTTTCTGTATTTGAGTAAATTTATTTAAATGGCTTCTGACTAATGTTATTTAATTAGGTGGTGGAAAACTTTAGATGTTGAGAATAAGCTACCTTTTGCAAGAGACAGACTGGTAGAGTTATACTTTTGGATAATGGGAGTGTATTTTGAGCCTGATTATGGGTTGGCTAGGAGGATTCTGTGCAAAGTGATTGCCATGAGTTCCATTCTTGATGACATCTATGATGTACAGGGTACAATTGAAGAACTTGAGCTTTTCACTGCAGCAATTGAGAGGTTTGATTCTTCTATTTCGTCAATTTTTACTATTGTCATCTCCATAAATCATTCGTATTTATTTATTAATTTTTTGTTTTTCAGATGGGATGTCAGTGCTATGCATCAACTGCCAGAGTATATGAAAATTACTTATGGGGCTCTCCTTGACGTTTACGGAGAAATTGAGAGAGATATGGCCTTCAAAGGAAAACTATACCGCCTTGATTACGCAAAAGATGTGGTAAATTTCATTGAAGTTAATTTTTTAGTGTGAAAAGCAATTGAAGCATATAAATTCCTGTAAATGATTTATAATTGTAACTCTGTTTGTTACTATTTCGTTATGGTTTGTCAGATGAAGATTTGTGGGGATGGGAGATGTAGTAACCGAAGAATCATTTGATTGGGTAATCAGCAACCCCAAAATCGTTAAGGCCTCCTCAATAATTGGCAGACTCATGGATGACATTGCAGGTCATAAGGTATTGCATTAAATCATTTTGTTCATACTTTTCATTCAAGCCTAATTCAGATTAGTGAGTTTTTTTCTTCAATTCCGCATTATTTATTATGTGTAGGATGAGCAAAAGAGAGCGCATGTTGCTTCAGCAGTTGAATGCTACATGAATCAGCATAATGTTTCTGAAGAAGAGGCAGTTAAATTACTTCGCGAACTAGTTGAGGATGCATGGAAAGATATCAATGAGGAATTTATTGAACCAGCTGCTGTTCCAATGCCTCTGCTTGAACGGGTTCTTAATCTTACACGCGTTATTGATCTCCTATACAAAGAAGATGATTGCTACACCAATTCTCATTTGATGAAGCGCCTTGTGGCCTCATTGCTCACGGATCCTGTACTGCTGTGAAGATTATTCCAGGGACTGAATAATATTCCATTTAGTACATGGAATAACTATATGGTTTATTAATACTAATAAATGATGTCCCTAATATTTATTATTAATAAGTACCTAAGGTTCTCTCACTACTCGGCTACAATGCTTTTTCCTTTTGCCTATATGGGTAGAAATTTGTTGTATAAAAGAGATTAAAAATCGCCCTGTAGGGAGATCAATTAATTCTAATGCCTATGTTCTAATCAGTTGTCACGTAAATTTAATTTGGTTGGCTCGAAAGGGCATATCATTGAATTTAACCGATAATTTAGAACCATATTGTGATCTTCATTAATTTTTAGTCCCTACTATATTTGAAGTAGATCCAAAATTATTGGAATATATCAATGATAGCTACGTTAGTGGTTGAGGGAATTGTTGTGAAATGACGTCAATAATTATTAAAATCAATAATACGTGAAATAAATAAAAAATATATGAATAATATAACAAGTTAGCATAATTTTCTATAAAATTTACCTTTATGAATGAGAAAAAAAACCCATTAATATCAGAAAGAGCAATAATATCAAAATAAGTTAAATAAGATAAGATTCAAACTAACAGGGTAGCTTTTAAAGTGACTAGCTGATGAACAATTTTAATACCTCACAAGTGCACGAATCGCTATCGTAGTCTAGTGTATAAAAGTAAGGATCGATCCCACGGAAATTTGTAAGTACTCAATTAATCCTAATATATTATGCCTTAATTAAACAAATAAAATAAATAAAATTTTAAACAAAAGAAATTAAACTAATTACTAAGGAAGCAAAATAAATTCTTAACCAACTGAATTAAATAACAAAATTAAAAATTAATTAAAAACCAATGCAAGAAAAACCTAGGTATCCAATTCTCTGCTAATAACTAATTTATTACTGTCTCATCCAATTCTTAGGGTTCAGTCTTCCATCATTATGGTATTACTATTTGATGTTCGAGTTTAACCAAGTATTCTTAACCATTAAACTCACTAGGATGTTTAGTAAAGCCTAACAATCAAGAATCCATTAAGAACAAGAAGTACTAAAAATATGAACCAAATTGTATCTAGCCTGATGTTTGCCTCAACACAATCCAATCATTCAAAAGAGCTGGTCAAAGTTTGCATATGATGTTTACCTTAACTTGTCTCATATAATCAACTGTTTTATGTTTTAAAGTTAGCATATAATATTTACCATACTTATTTCATACAAAACATCAAAATTGAATTAAGTGTTATGAGTAAAACTAGAAATATATTGAATTAATAGAATAATAAAATTAATCAAAACATAAAACCTTCTTGTTAAGTTACATCGGATCCCTAGAAAAAAAATTAGTCACACATAAATATTGTTTTAAAAACCGATCTGCTCAGTGGCCCGGACAAATGATTGGATCCCGAATTAACCGATAGTTAAACCAATGACATCATCACATCACCAATTAATGTTTTCTGTCAACGTCTCCTTCTTTATCTCATTAGCTCATTTATCTCTCACCTCTCATACGTGTCCACCAACAAACAGCTTTTCATTTGTTTTTCATTAAATGCAATTGAGTACACTCTTGACATTTAATATTTGTTTTTTATTTTCAATGAAAGCTCATTAAATGCAATATAAGTAAACCTTCTTTATTTATTAAATTAAATGATTTATTTTCAATCTTTTCTATCTTAAATTGCAGGAACGAAGAAGAGTAGGGAGAGGAAGCTTCAATAACTTCTTTCTCAAACTCTCTTTGTTATTCTTTACTCTTTCATTTCTTCTGTTTTAATTATTAAAGCTCTTCCGATTCTTCAGCTTTCCTCTCATCAAAAGGTGCATGCCTTCTACACCAAAAACACACAAACACATCCACTCTTCCTTTTTCACAAAATCCTCATTTTCTTCTCTCTTATTAGCTGTGTGCCGCCACTGTTATATGCACCTCCACCATTCTCCACCACCATCGCCACCGCAGCAGCAACAGCCTAGGGTTTCAACTCCTCTCACTTGTTTTTTCTCCTCTTCTTCGAGTTGGATTCTCTCTTCTTCTAGTGGCTTCGTTGATTAGTATTATTTTTTTGGGTTGATTAGCCTCATGGCTTTAATTGAAAATTGTAGAAAGGATTTGAATCTTAGAACTTAGGAATTTGAGTTGACAAAACCGGTTGGACCGGTGGATCGCTGCAGTAAAACCGGTCTAACCGCGGGTCAAAACGGGTCAATTCTCATTTCCGGTTTTCTACCCTGACCAACCTGGCTAAGCCACCAGTTCTCGGTCAAACCGATTAAACCGACCGGGCTGGTCCGGGTTTTAAAACCTTGCACATAAACATGGGTGCGTTTGGTTTAATATTTTGGATAGGATTTTGAAAATAATTTGGGGTAGTTGAATAGTAGAGTATTACGAGATAAAATTTAAAAATTTATAAAAAAGCTCTTGGGTTTACTAATTTAATTAAACACCCAAATATATAAAATGATAAAAATACTCCCACTACCTGTAATGTCAGATTCCGACGACCACAGGAAAATTGCGTTACGACACAGACCAGTTGGATCTATGTCGTAACGCGTCATTATATCTGGTCGAAAAATGCCAGATCTACTGCTTGCTGTGGCCGCGACGGCTGGAAAAGGCCAAAACGTCAGCCACGACCATTTCTTTGGCCGTCAATTACCGACCAGTTCTGGTCGGTAATTCATTGTTGTGGCAGATTTCGGCTACCACTAACGGTAGTTGTCGGAATCTGACAAGTATGGGTTATAGGGGTGTTTTTGTTAATTTTTAAACTTTTTTTTTACGGGGTATTTAATGAAATTAATAACCTTATAGGGTCTAAAAATAATTAAAAAATAGGATAATATTTCTGGAATAATGTGTCAAACATTATTTGGAGAATAGAATTGGGAATATGGACAGAAATAATAAGTCAAACATACCCATAGAGAAATCAAACCTCAAACCCTTCAAAAACATGAAGTACAAGAGAAAAAGATGAAACCTTAGGTAGATATCTTCTCCATGCCTCTCTCAAAGTTTAAATCTTCTTAAAAAAAATACCTAAAGACTAGGGGTGGGAATATCCGGTTAACCGATTTTTTCAGCATCATGAAATTGACCATCTTGCCCTTTTTGTAATGAATTTTGACTATTTTACCCTTCTTCAGAATGAAATTCACTAACGGAATTAGCTTGTGGGTGAGAAAGTGTCATTTCAAAACTTTTTGCGTGGTAGATTGTCATTAGGCCAAACCTAATTATAATAAAGAATTCATACTCATAAAGTAACAACCCAAAGACAAAAAATAAATAAACCTCATAATATATATTATATTTACATATATGAGACCAAAATTAAATTTCAGAAGTTGGTTTAGTGTGTAAGTTGGGTTTTATTACAAATCGACACACAGTGGCGGGTGCTAACGTGCGCAGCATGGCGAAGACGGCGATCGCGTCCGAGCCGCTGGTGGGTTCACTAGTTCCCTACAAGAAACGCGACTACAGAGTCACCAACAAGCTTCAAGAAGGCAAGCGACCCTTATATGCCGTAGCTTTCAACTTCATTGACACTCGCTACTTCAACGTCTTCGCCACCTTTGGCGGCAATCGCGTAACTTTCTTTTTTTCTCTCTCTAATTTTATTGTTTGAAGAAGCTTTTGTGTTTTCTACAAGTAGGTTTTGTGAAAGTTTTAGTTTTTATTAAAAAAAAAAATTTCGCTTAATTAGTGGTTTCAAGCTTGTTCATATCTGAATACATGTTTATGAACTTGTGAATGATGTTAATAGCTCTTATTTTTGCTTTGAAAAGCCTAAAGAAGTAATTTTTAAGCTATCGCCTATCGAAACGCTTTCTTGAGTATGTAATACTGAAAATTGGTATCCTTCTAGCCATTTTTAGGCATTTAGGTTATGTTAATGAATGTGTTCTCTTGTTTTCTCATTACTTGTGTGCTGGTTTCGTCCACCTCTTGTGATAATATTTGCTTGATGTCTTTTCAGGCGACTGTGTATCAATGTCTTATGTTGACGAAGATGTAAGAAGATACAGTGATCTTGATTGATTTTATTGAATTTAGTGCTATTTTAATGATTGATTAGTGATTCCAATACGGTGATATTTGAACCTAAGAATATTTGGGAATTCCGTGTGCTATGTAGATCAGAAGGACGAGTCATTTTACACTGTAAGCTGGGCTTGCAATGTTGATGGAACTCTCATTCTAGTGGCCGGAGGCATCAATGGTATAATCCGTGTCATTGATGTCAGCAATGAGAAGCTTCACAAGGTAGGGCTTTTATTCTGTGTCAGTAGCTATCAGTAATTGTTGGCAGCTCATTTTAGTTTACTAAAAGTAACAGTCTGTTGGCATTTGAGGAACTGAACAACAATGATTAACTAGACAGATCAAGAGAATATGTTGCTTTCAGGAGGCTAATGGTTCATGTAGTTATGTTGATCTATGAGTAGTATAGAACAAATTCTGATTTTTCACTCTTGAATTTAAGTGTGAGGTGCACATTTTTGAATAATATTCTTCTGCATGTATTAGTTACCTTTGTTTCACTTGAACCAAGATGTACTACTTTTTCATTAATGTAATTTTAGTTCTGTTTCTTATTTATAAAAGAAAATAACATTGAAAAAAAAAAAGGAACACAAACTCATATTTTTCTTGTTACATGCTCTTGTATGTGCAGAGTTTTGTTGGCCATGGAGACTCAATAAATGAAATCAGGACTCAGCCACTAAAGCCATCTCTTGTGGTGTCTGCTAGCAAGGTAACTATCATAAGTGTTTGTTCCTTACAACATTTTTGTTTTTTCTAAGTAGAACTGATTGTTTGAGATTGAACTAGGATGAATCGGTTCGTCTTTGGAATGTGCATACTGGAATATGCATTTTGATATTTGCTGGAGCTGGGGGTCACCGTAATGAAGTTCTGAGTGTGGTAAGTTTTTAAATTTTGGCTTCTTCTTTTGTGGTTCTAATACAATGAAGATTTAGAATTGATTTTTATGGTGGCTGTTGCAGGACTTCCATCCTTCAGACATATATCGCATTGCAAGTTGTGGCATGGACAACACTGTTAAGATTTGGTCAATGAAAGGTAGGACACAGATACTAGCATTCTTCAATGTGATTATTGTTAAGCACTTGGACTTTCCGAATTTGTAAAATTTAATATTTCAAGTGATGTATCTACAAAGGTATAAAGATTATTTCCTGTTATAATTCCATTAAGACGAGGACTTCCTCGACAATTATACTTTTTCCCTTATTGTTTTATCTTCACAATCTTTTTGAACGATCGTGTATTAAAAGATCTTGGATTATTGTTTGGATATGCCATCTGAGATTCAAGCCCTTGGCCTCTTGGTGTTGGTGCTGATGGGGCTGGGTTGGGATACATCCAAGATCCATGTATTCAATGATTGTTATACAGTCTGGCTGACAGGACTTACAGTTTGCTGATATTAATTGTGGTATCTTAGTTTTTTCTTTTTCCGTCTGCAGAGTTCTGGACATATGTAGAGAAATCCTTCACATGGACAGATCTTCCTTCAAAATTTCCCACAAAATATGTTCAGTTTCCTGTAGGTTTTCAATTTTCCTTTTCATTATGAAATATGTTAGAGATGAGCATAAATATCTATTTTTTTTTTTTTTTCCTGACTAGGAATTATCATTTTCAGGTCTTCATAGCTTCAGTTCATTCAAACTATGTTGACTGTAACCGATGGCTTGGTGATTTTGTTCTGTCAAAGGTGAATCACTGTTATCCCCATCCAATGTTTTTGTTAATGTAAAATTTAATGTTTGGGGGCAGTACTTGTTGATAGTGCTTTTCTTTTCACTAACTAATTTGATACAATTCATTGACGTTGTTTTCAGACATATTTAGTGTATATTGTTCTCTTAGAATGCTAAAACTCCCATCAATGCTTACATTTAGTAATCTGTGTGGCACGATTGCAGAGTGTTGACAATGAAATTGTGTTGTGGGAACCAAAAATGAAGGAACAGTCTCCTGGAGAGGTTAGTAATTCCTTAATGGTTGTTTTGAGTCATCCATTTTCTTAATTTATATATTATCGCACTGAACTTGTCAGAAACTGAATATTTTTGTGATTGGAATACTTTTCATTTTTTTTTTTTTTTTTCTTTTGCTGCTTCAAAACATTGCATGATTTTATTCTGTTTAGGGAACGGCTGACATCCTTCAAAAATACCCTGTTCCTGAGTGTGATATCTGGTTCATCAAGTTTTCCTGTGACTTCCACTACAATGCAGCTGCAATAGGTATTATAACACTTTTGGTTTGGTTTGGTTTTTTTTTTTTTTTTTTTTCTGTTCTTTTACATGTACACACTCAAACACATGCGTAACATAAATACTTTAATTGTATGACTTAGTGTTAAATTGGACCAATGCTGCTTGTACTGGAGGTTATTGCTTAATTAATTCCTTAAAACTTGAAATCAAGTACCCTGCCCATACAAGCGCTATATTCTCATAGATCCTATGTAATTATTTTGGATTCTTAACATTTCGGTATTACTTCTACCAGGGAATAGGGAAGGGAAGATTTATGTATGGGAGCTGCAAAGTAGCCCCCCTGTTCTCATTGCAAGGTTGGTTCGATTGATTTACCCTAGTGTTAAAATACCATCACTCTATTCTGTATTTTAATGGCCTTAGCAATTTTTTTTTTAATTATTCTTAGGTTATCGCATGCTCAGTCGAAATCTCCAATTAGACAGACTGCCATGTCCTTCGACGGAAGGTAACACCTAATTAGACTTTCATTGGTTTGTTAATTCTAAATTGGGTACAGTGTTCAAATATTGTGTTATTCTTTGTTGCAGCACCATACTAAGCTGTTGCGAGGATGGAGCAATATGGCGGTGGGATGCTGTATCAACTTCCTAAATATATTCAAGTGGGTCTATTGGAAGACCTTTATTGATGCTCATTTTGTTGTTTCATTAGAGGCTGACATGGTTAATTGTTAAATTATGTAGGACATAAATTAAGAGATGACCAATTCCATGAACCCTCAGTCAAAGCCTGACAAAATGTGTTGGAGTAGACCTACAGGTCGGCGAAGATGCTTAATTTATGATATTTGCATATTACAGTAGGAAAGTTGCATATAGTTTATCCATTAATGTCTGAAAATCTCAACCACCTTTTGAGTTAAAACATTCAAACCTATAGTTTAATGGACTAATAAACGAGAAACTGGTATTAAACCAACTTAATCACATTATTCACAGTTGAGAATTTGATGGTCTTTATCTCAACTAATATTTCTAAGTTATCGCGTACCAGTTGCTGTTGATGGACAAAATTTGAAGATTACGAGGTCAAGCACAATCAACTTCTATTACATTAAGCCCTGCACTGTTTCAACAATCCTTTTAAATACATATATATACACGGCCACTGGTGCCACTAGTTTCTAGTTGGTAGCAGAAATCTATTGCTAAATCTTTGCACCAGCATTCAGAGTTTTACCAAATTTTATCATTTTTATGATACCCTCAACTTTCAATAAATCTTACCATTCTTAGATTGTTAAACAGGATTTCTTGGATAGGAGGAGTTTAATAATAGTATTTATTTCAATCACAGCTTGTTTTGAGAAATATGCATCAGAAACCAATTTCATATAAATGGGGATAGAATATTAGAAACTTGCAAACACAAATATTACAACTTTGGACAGATTTTATAACTTTTCCTTCAATTTAGAGAAAACACACTTACGCCCCCAATATTTGAGGAAATAGACATATCTATAGAGAGCTGAAGCTATAGTCCTCGAATTCAGCTCATCCAATTTCTAGGAAGTTCCAACATGGATTAGAATATAACTAGCAGCTTCAAGTTGCCAGTTCTGCATGCATTATCAAGCTATTGGTGTCCAAAGGATCAACATATTCAAGTTCATTACTACTCATTTCTTATTTCAGGGAACTAATGAGCAAATCAAGTTGAAAATATCAAGAGTTGGAAATAGGAATCTTTCTTTCTTTTATTGTCTTTAGACGTGGACCAGTCTAATTTGTGATGCTGACCGGACTGCTGCAAGAGCAATCCATGTAGTTTCCTACTCCTATGTGAGTGTAAATGAATACAGTGGTGGTACTATAAATGAGAGTGTGTTGAGTTTCTCTAAGCAATCTGTAATGTAAAGATAAACCCTTGTGGCCTGTTGGAAGAAAACTCCAGTATGCTTATATACAAGGCACCTATAGAGGGAAAAATTGAAACTCTAAATAGCATTCCAGATGTCGATTATTCACACACGACACATAGAGGGAACAATGTGATCCATCTAGCAGCGAAGTTAGGACACAAAACGTTTGTTCTTGAGGCGCGCTGCAGTGGATATCCTTTCCTGAAAAGTGAAAAGAACTTGAAAGGCGATACACCTCTTCATGTTACAGCAAGGGCCGGTCAAATTGATATAGTAAAACAACTAGTCCCAACAGAAGAAATTTGCTCATCTAGCGTTCATTCAATTGGCATGTCAAGTTTTTATCATTTGAGAGATAGAGGAGGGGGAGAAGGGATTATTGAGTTGTTGAGAATGAAAAATAATGTCCAAAGCACGGCATTGCATGAGGCTTTAAGGAATGGCCACAAGGAAGTAGCTATATACCTCTGGAAATTAGACCAGGGAATGGCTAGCTTTGTTACTTCTACCGGCGAGAGCCTCCTTTATTTAGCTGCTGAGTCAAGTTGTGGGGAAATGGTTTCGGAAATCATGAAATTCTTAAATCAACAATTAAAAGAACCCAACCTTCTGAAGAATGCTGTTCGTGGCCCAGATGGCCAGAATTAGTTTCATGCTGCAGTACTTGCTAGAAGTAGTGGTATGTTGACTCTTTCCATCAAAACTAACTTTTCTTTCCAAAAATAAAAAAATTATTTTCTAAAGATGTGTATTTGTTGAGACCTCTATGACGTCAACTAAATACGAAAATTTATATAATATCGGCTCAGTGAAGTGTCTTTTAAGCATGTTTTTAAAAATCTTACTGCAAATAAATGAATATATAAGATATAGAGAGAAAAAGAAGAGAAAATCAGCTTCTATTTTTGAATGGTTGCATGGCTTAATTTTAACCTTCATGTGTCTCTAGTGTTATGCTGCAAGGTCAGACGAATTTTAATGTTAAAGCCAAAAGTACCAATTAAAAGACTAGAATTTAGAAGTATGAGAAAGAAAGCAGAAGCAAAGGGAATTTTGTATAAAGATATTGGCTTTTGACTGTGACTCATATCTGTTTCTCTGTTGTCATGCTACAGAAGGCATTGGTATTCTGCTTGGACTAAAAGACCATTTGAAACTTATCAATCAACCTGAAATTTATGGAAATACAGCCCTTCATTTTGCAGCAGCAGCAAGAGAAAAAAAAATTAATAGAATAGTTGCTGAGCAGATGTGCTTCAGCTGCCTATCTACGAGATAAAGGTGGACGGACACCATTACTCGAAGCTGCCAGTTCTGGAGATGTTTCCGTCCTTAAAGAAATACTTCGACAATGTCCGAACACGATTGAGCTATGTGATCTGGCAGGCAAGAATGCACTTCATCTTGCTATGTTAAACAACACCTAGCTCAATGTCAAGGCATTCTTGAGCTTGCCTCAGATAATGGAGCTCGTGAAAGAACCTGACAATGAAGGAAACACACCGTTGAATCTAGCAACCATGAATCACAAGTACAAGTTGGTGAAAAAGCTAATATCAACCAAAGGTGTGGACTTAAGGGCCAAGAACCAGAATGAAAAAAGTGCTCTAGGCATCTGTGAGTCTGAGCGGAAAGTTTCTCATGAAGAGGCAATATAATTAGCAGTTTGAGTAAGAGTGGTAATATGTTTCAGCTGAAATTTTAATTTCCAATCTGTATTCCTTTGCATTCACATATATCTTTTGGGGATTCAAGTAGGAGACAACATCTTCTAAAGAGAGTCTATCTTGTTGTGTTAGGATCAAGCTTTGGGCTTTGGTATAACTTGATTTAAGATCTTTTCCATGACGATATAATTTCCCATTGATTGTTTTTCTCTATATGCTTCTGATTCTGCTTAATCACTATAGTCCCATTTTGTTTCTTTTGGCATTCAAATCCCAAATCTCAAATTCAATGCAACACAAGTCATGCAGCAAGAGAAATGTACATATGGTTTGTAAGGGCAACTTGAGAGCTTACAAAATTAATCCTGACTGCTAATACTGATTAGTTTTTGGTTTTTATTGAGCAACGAGCCAAAAGATTTTATTTTCACAAATGGCTAACATTTTTTTCCCTTTGCTCTTGAAATGATTGCAGAAAATTCCCCTCAGTGATGCACCCCCGAGTAGACATCCCTATAGCTCGAAGTTTTTTCCGAAAACAAAGAGTGGATTCGAGCACCCTGACTTAGACTTAAAACAAATGGCCGACACCTTGTCAGTGGTTGCTGTACTTCTAGCCACTTTAACTTTTGCTGCAGCATTCACATTACCAGGTGGATACCACGCTGATGGTGAAATTCATGAAAAACATAATAAAGATGAACATCAAGGTATCACTCAATCCTCATAGGAAAGGTATCACTCAAGGTATTTCTGTTGGCAGATTCACTTTCTGTGTGCTGCTCGCTGACAGTGGTGTTTCTCTTGATTCTGGCAATGGCCGGTGACCCTGCCTTCTTGCACAAAGCAATCACCTACAGCAAGAACCTGTTGAAATATCGCCCTTGGCGGAACGTTGGTTGCCTTCATCACTGGATTGGACACAGTTATATCACCAAAGAGCCATCATTATTATCATTATAGGCCTAATGTTCCATTTCTCATCAAATATTTGCGAAGAAAGTCTTCCATTGTACTCCTTTGTTAATAATTTCTCAGGGAAGAACAGATAACCCTTAATGGTACAACACCAGAGAAAGATCTGAATACTCTACTCCTAGAAGTGTCTCTGTATGCTGGTTCACCCTACAGTCGCCTAACTCTATGATATTAAGACCATTCTGTATTAGTGTCTGTCTAATGTTTTTGTGATCGCTTCAGTTTTGGTGATTTCGTGTTCTGAAAATCTGAAAATGGATCTGAAAATGAAAAGTGGTTGTTATTACGGTCTTTTGATACATATTTTCTACGAATAAAATAGAGAGTGAAAATTAAAAATAACGTTGAACACTTAATCTTGTAGCATCTCGTTTTCATTGTAATAATTTTTACAATTTATATAGTAGCCTTTCTTTCGTATTTTTAGAATCTTTTTTTCATTATTATCATGTTTATCCTGTTCTTGGCATGTCATCATCAACTACCACTGCAGCAAAATGTTGGTTTGTCTGATAACAGTGTTTAAAGCTTGCCCTTCTGACTAGAGAGACGCACATATTATGTCATCGCATTTTTAAAAAGCAAAAATAGATTTGGGTAAATATTTACAGTCAAAGTACTGTTTTCATCTAATTTTTATATTCAGCGTGCATGAAAATCCTGTTTTCTGCATGTCAGTAAAAGCAATAAGATATGAAAAAGGGGTTCTGGCCTCAATACCAGACCAGTCTGTATATTGGTTATTTATACAGCTAGGTTGTTACAATGATAAGAATACATTTGAAATAAGCAATAGAATCAAGTACAAGATATGCGGAAGTAGAGTTTAAAATGGAATCAAGTTGTTGGAGCTGATAAGGTTGTTGCAGATGTTGAAGTCGTTGGTGATAAGTCGCTCTGTGTTGAGAGTTGACTAAGTCTCTTGCTTAACATCCCCTGCAAGCTGGAAAGGGGTAGGCACACTTGCAGCTTGTTCCGAAGTTCACAAAAGTGACGGGTGCTTAATCATTTTGTAAAAACATTAGCAATCTGATCTTGGGAACAAATAAACTGGAGGTGTAATACTTTATTTAGAACTTTCTCATGGATAAAATGGTAGTCCACTTCGATATGCTTGGTTCTCGCATGAAAGACAGGATTAAAGGCTAAAGCTAATGCATCAATGTTGTCACGCCAAATTGGGGAGGGTAGGTAGTGATATACAGAGTTCTTGGGAAGCATTCAACCCAATAGAGTTTGGTTGTGGTGATTGCTAAAGCCTGATACTCTGCCTCAGTGCTGGAGCGGGCTACAACAGTTGTTCTTAGCAGTCCAAGACACTAAACAGGAACAAGAAATACACCATAACCTGTAGTTGAACGGCGATCATCCAGATTACTAGCCCGATCGAAGTCGCAATAGGCTTGAAGAGTAAGAGATCCATTTTGATACCATAAGCCGTTGTCAATGTTCCTTTAAGGTAGCGGAGAACCCTTAGCAGCAGACCAGTGAGTGGATCTTGGACAATGCATATGTTGGCATAGTTGGTTAACTGAGAAAGCAATATTCGAACGAGTCAAAGTGCAATATTGTAGAGCACCAATAGTTTGGTGATACTCAGTAGTTTGGGCTGCCAAGAGAGTTCACCATCATGAGCTGAAGCTTTAGTCCTGAGGAGCATGGTGAGAGATAAGGTTGGCACCAATCATCTTAGTGCGATGGAGAAGATCACCAATGTATTTTGATTGCCGGAGGTGTAAGCCCGTAGAGTCTCGATGAGCTTGAATGCAAAGAAAATAATTTAATGAACCAAGATCTTTCATTTTGAATTCCAGTTGCAACTTGGCAATAGAGAAGCAATAGAGAAGGATGCTTGTCTGTCACAAGAATATCACCACATAGATTAGAACGAACAAGTGAATATTTCCTTGATGATAAATAAATAATGAAGAGTCCACCGGTGAGGAAGTAATCCAAACTGAAGTAGAGACTGAGATAGGCCACTGAACCAAGCTCGTGGGGCTTATTTGAGTCCATATAAGGACTTCTCAAACTTGCAAACATGGTAGGAAATCTGGATGAACAAAGCCTTGAGGTTGCTTCATATAGACTTCTTTCCTCTTGTAAACACCATGCAAGAAAAAATTAGAAACATCCAATTGGCGTATTCTAATGAAAGTGAACAGCAAGAGCAAGAATGACTCGATTGTGGAAGGTTTAATAACTGGATTGATGTCTCAATGAATCTATGCCACATTCTTGTTCAAAAGCTTTAGCCACTAATCGGGCTTTAAGTCGATCAACCTGACTATCGGATATTTGTTTACACTTGTGACCCATTTGTTATCAATAACATTATGATTCAATGGTCCAGGGTAAGTATCCATGTACGGTTTCATATTAGAGCATTATATCTTGCCATAGCCGTGCACATTCAGGACTCAATGAGGCTGTTTGTAAGAACGAGGTTCAATTGGCATTGTTATACCAGTGAGAGCCTTAAGAGGATGTTTTGTGGAGTAGATGTCTTGTACTCAAGGAAGGTGCGGGGCTTGAGATGGCCTGTTTGAGACCGAGATGGCCTGTTTGAGATGCAAGGGATTATAGGTGCGGGTAAGGAGTGAGGTGGAGATGGAGAAATATCTGGACTTGAACTGGTGTTGGAGAACGAAATCATATGAAGATGATAAAGGGGTTCGATCAGGAGAATTATAGAGGTAGATGAATTTGCATTAGTGCTAAGAGATAGATCAGATCCATTATTAGAGAGAGATAAATCAGAATTAAAACTAGAAGGAAAGGAGATAGCGAAGGAATTACCAGGAGAAGTAGCCACCGTGGAAGGTTGTGAGGGCTTCAATCCATCCTTTGCAGGAAATGTAAGTTCATAAAAAACCACATGACGACAGATAATTTTTTTATGAGAAACTGGATCTAGACACCTATAGCAGCGTGATTGGCACTATAACCCAGAAATATACACTTCTTAGTGCGAACAATGAGTTTGTGAGATGCATATGGCCTTAAAAGCGGATAACAAGCACATCCAAAGGCACGAAGGAATGTATAATTAGGAATTTGCCAAACAATTTGAAGAAAGCGTGTCATTGTTAAGGACCACGTAGGCAACAGATTAATAAGGTATATGGCAGTTAAGAATGCATCAACCCATATGTGAGAGGTAAATGAGATTGAGCAAGTAAGGATAATCCCATTTCAGTAATATGTCTATGTTTTCTCTCAGCAGTACCATTTTGTTGAGGAGTGTGGGGACAGGTAATGCGATGATGAATGCCTTGGTTGCAAGAAATTGAAATGGTTTTGACAGTATTCCCTACCTCCATCAGTTTGGAAGTTCTTAATTTTGCAAGACAAATGATTTTCAAAAGAACTTTAAATTTGAGAAAACATGCATAGACATCAGATTTATTTTGAATAGGATAAGCCATGTAAACCGAGAGAAATCTCTATGAAAAGAAACTATAACGGCAGCCACTAGAGATTGAGTTGAGCAAGACCGAACATCGGAGTGAATAAGCTCCAAAGGTGAACTTGTTATTTGATGAGAACTTAAAAAGAAAGTGTTTTTGCGTTTACCAAGTGACAAGGGCATAGAGTTCACTATTATGCAATGAACAACATAAGGTAGGAATGTTTATTAATAACTGAATACCAATTGAATGGGAAGCATGTCCTAATCTAGAATGCCAAACTGGAACCGATGCTTTGATCCTACTGCCGCTGCCATTGCAAGTGGTTTATTGAGAACTAGACGTTGCAAATTAATGGTGAAAGTCCACACTACTCTGTCCTTCCAACAGTGTCTTCCCCGTTCGGTGTCCTTGACAAAATAATGAGAAGTAGTTAGAATGAAGAAACAATTATTGTCAAGACAAAATTGATTATAGAGAGTAAATTAGCAGAAGCTTGAGGCAATGGAGAACAGACTAAGTTTAAGAGAGAAGCAGGGGTATGGAGAACAATGGAACAGTATTTTTGATATTCAAACCTTGTCCATTACCACAGCAACATGTTCCTGTCCAGTATATGGTGTGCAAGAGTCAGCTGCTCAAGATTGGCTGTAATATGTTGATTAGCCCCATGTCAGCGAACCAAGGATCTTCGGCAACATGAGTAGATTAGTGTGAGCAACTATAGCCGCTAATTGAGTGGAGGATGGCGACCTTGAAAAGCATAGTCCATGCAATGAAACATCAAGTGCCTGGTGGTTTGGTTTTCCACAGATTTGGCAAGGGATGCGTAGGGTATTTAAGGTTTGCGGAGAGTGGTTTGGTCGAGAGAAGGATAAGATTAGGTATTAGTGCAGGCTTTTGGAGTAGTATGTAGGTTGGAAGGTTTGTGGGTAGGATTTTGTGGGGTATTTTGGCTTTCTGTTGTAGGGCTGTTGGGAATATTTGGCAGCAAATAGGGCTAAATTATTGGTTTCAGGTGGGATTAAATGGATTTGACTTTCTAGAAGTAATTCAAAGGATAGTAACTCGACTTGTAAATCTTCAAAAGAGAGAGCTTTGTCTGGGTGGCAAAGGACAGGAAGTGACAAAGGGTGATATGAATGATTCAAACCACTCACAATAAGCAATTAAATCATCATCATCAATGGTCTTACCAACAGCTCCTAGTTGTGTTGCTAGTTGCTTTGCCGAATCAAGATAAGCTGCAACTTCATGGAACCTTGATTCAACGTTTGGAGGAGCCGCTTCAAGTGGTTAATGCGAGATCGAGATGGCGAAGCAAATTTGTTAGCCAAGGCAAGCCAAGCAAGTCTGGCTGAATTGAGACCATACACAAATGATGCCACTTTAAAGAAAGAGTTGACATGACCATCCTGAATTTCCTCATCCCGTAGGATTCGGGCGCTCTACAAGACTCGGATACCGAGACGTGCCATGTAGAAAACTGTGAAACCTATTAAAGGACTTACTTTTTCTGAATAACATCATAGTATTTCCATTCTAACATCTAAAAAAAAAAAAAAAAAAAAAAAA